AAATAGTGACCTCCCCTCCAAAACAAAACACTATGAAAGTATAAAAATACATTTTTATAGTAAAAATACCAGCAATACATGGAGATGAGAATATAAGTAGAGGAAATAAGATGTAAAGCCATACAACCAGCCAATTATTTATATTTGTTTTGCTCTTATGATTATTATTATTTCTACTTTTTTAATAAATCTGAAATGATTATTTACACTATTTATATCGTTCGGACTGTTGTCTCTTCATCTTTACTGCCATATTCACAATGTCGTCTCTTCATCTTTACTGCCATATTCACAATGTTTGACCCAGTGGATAAAATCGTTGGTTGAGTAATCCAAAAAGTGACTTGACCCAAAGAGTTATGAGTTCAATACCTGGCCACAGCAGAGGGAACAAAAACTTGGAGAGTTGAGTTACTAAAGGGAATTAACTGAAACTGAGATATCCAAAAAAAGGCATGGCATGTGGAATTAGAACAACCTACCCTAGTGGACATTCAGTTCAAGTTTGAAATTCCAACTTATATCATCTGAGAAAGCCATAGTGTGCAACAGCTGAAACGTTGTGAATATGGCAATAAAGATAACAGCAACAGCCTGAATGATGTAAATAGTTACCTCATCTCAGAAATATAAACAAATGCTAAAATGATTATTTTCTATTTTTTTTTCAATGTCAGTAAGTTGCATTCTAGCCCAGATAAAAGCCCAACTTTCAAATGCTGGTTTTCAAAACAGACAGGCCCTCCCCACTAAGAAGATTTGTGCAATAAATCTTCTTATACTCACCCCAAACTATTTAGTTATTCTTGGGTTGGAATGAGCTCAAGTGTACAAACAGTGAATGTTTTTGTCTATATTTCTGAGATGACATATTGTAACTATTTACATCATTCAGACTATTGTCCTCATCTTTATTGCCATATTCATGACATTTCAGCCATTGTATGCTCCGACCTTCTTGAGGTGATATATATCCTTGGATATGTCCCAATGGATAAAAACATTGGTTGAGTAACCCAAAAAGTGATGAGTTCAATCCCTGGGCAGAGCAGAGGGAACAAAAACTTGGGGAGTTGAGTTACTAAAGGAAATTAACTGAAACTGAGATATCCAAAAAAAAGGCATGGCATGTGGAATAAGTTAAATCTACCCACGAGGGCTAAATAAAGGGTTTGAAATTCCAACATATGTCACCTGAAGAAGGCCAGAGCGTATAACAGATGAAACATTGTGAATATGGCAATAAAGATGAGGACAACAGACTGAACGATGTAAATAAAATAAGTTTGTCTATTGCAATTTCTTAAGGAGTATTTTAAAAAATACTTATAAAAAGAAAGCCAGATGTTTAAAAAACTGTCTCAAATAAATTTAATGTAAAAAATTTAGTTTTCAAATTTGGAAAAAAAGGGGGCTCAAGTCTTATCATCTGAAAACCCACCAAATAAAGCCCATGAACAGGCATTGTTTAAAAGATAAACTTTGTTTTTCTTTGATCAATGAGGAATTTCCAGAGATTTTATACTGGGATTGAATCTGGAGTCAGTTTTTATGCTATTTAAGAAATTGTGGGAAAATGAAATAAAATTGATTAATAAAATAATAATAATAGTAAAAAAGAAAGAAAGAAAGAAAGAAATACATTTTTCCTCATGATGCTAAGAGTAAAGGAGTAATTACCCCACTTAGTTTTGTCAAACACTGTTAGGCAGTGCTGTTGAGGTCTATAAAAAGGCAAACATTTCCTGCCTTGGTCTGATTCACTCTTTTGTTCCAAGATGTAGAACCACATCGTAATTACGTTCACACTGAGGAACATTAGTTTCCCTGGTCCACACACTCACACATGCCTGTGGAGCTTAACAATGTTGTGGGTTTTGTGTTTATTTTTAGATAAAGGTGTGAGTTCAATACATAAACAAAAAAGATAGGAGAATCATACAAAAAAAAACCCCAAAACTAGTATTTAAATTAAAGATTAATTAAACCTTATTGCCAATCTAATACTGCCCTTAACTTCATAAAGTCTAGGTACCAAATCAAAGAGCTCTTCTGAACAATTACCATGAAAGTATTTATAGAAAAGGCACAGGGAAGCAACTTTATGGTAGTGGGAAAGTGACTGAAGTCAAGATGCCAGATCAGGACCAATAATATTGCTGATTCTTTGAAATCTCTAAATATAGTGCAGGAGCACCAGACCAGATGTGGCAGCAATATTCAAAGCATGGACAAATGGTAGACTTATAGATATGCAAGATAGATTCTGGATAAAAAAAAAAAAAAACTTGTCTGGCACAACACAGTGAACCAACTTACTTAGCAGCTGGCCTAGCAATGGATTCAATGTAGTCTTTCCACTTCATGTCAACTGAAAGTTAATCCGAGGTGTAATGAGTCACTGTTCTGGAGGTTAGCATCAGCGATGTTGATGGAAGGCAGAAAGGGGATTCACAGATGATTAATAGAGTAGTTTTGTTTTAGAGGCATTAAAATTAACAAGCCATTCTTTGCCCCAGTTAATAACAGGATGTAGGTTGTTTTTGAGATCATCACCAAATTGATCTTATCAAACGGATCAGTATTGCGTTAGGTGTAAATGGTTGTTATCAGCATAGATACCAAGTTGTGAGCTGATGCCATCAGGAAGGTCATTAATAAAAATTAAGAACAAATTAGGACCAAGGCTAGATCCCTGGGGAACACCTGCATGGATACAGAAGGATCTAAAAGTGTTTTTCTGTGGCTTTCATTACACAATTTGATAAGAAGGACTGATTCAGTTCAAAAATTTGTCCAGAGACACCGTAACTTTTCATAACTTGTGAAGATGACCAGTATGCCAAACCCTGTCAAATGCTTTTGAGTTGTCCAAAGCAACAGCCCAAGTTTCACCATTCTTAGTTAAAGCTTGATAGATTCTTTCCACAATAATCATTAATACATCAGCCTTTGATCTAGATCAGTGTTTCTCTACCATTTTTAATTCAGGGAACACTTGTAGAATAGCTAAAATTCTGGGGGCACACTTTAAATTTTAATAAGGAAAAATAAGTCATGACATTTGAAAATAACAGTCTCTTGAAATAAGTATTTATTTTGAAAGCATTACATGATATATTTAAGTGGTAAAGTTTTCATTGAAATGATTTTGTGAAGAATCTGTAATTTTTCTTTTTAGAGAGACCGATAATGACTGATTTAAATCCATCAAGGAAGGCAAAAGGGAAAGGATTTTCTACTCCTTAAAGATAAAGGAATTTAGCAACCAGTTTAAAATATCAAATGACAAAGACTTGAAGCCATGTGATTGGTGTTTCTAGCATTTTAAAAATAATGATGTTTTAAAATATAAAAATAATTAATAAAAGTACTCTTCTGTTAACTTGAGGCACACCTGGTTACCTTTCAAGGTGCGTTAGTGAACCTGGGCACATCAGTTGAGAAACACTGACCTAGAGAAACGAAAGCCATATTGCTTGCCTGAAAGAATGCCCTGCATTGTAAGATGCTTAACTAATTCATCATGGATCAGGGTCTCTAGTATTTTTGCAAAAAAGAGGTAGAGAGCTAATAGGCCAATTGTTGGAAGGTTCACCTGAGTTCTGGGACTGGAACTACAGATGAAGATTTCCAATAAGTAGGAAAGCAAGAGGCCGTGACACATTTATTATAAAGGAGTTTTGAGTAAAATGCCACAGGTTTTGATATGAAAAAAGTTTTTGATGAACACTTGAAACTAGATTTTATTAGAGAAAGTTTTTTCTCTCAAAATGTTTTGCAGTGATCAAAAATGCAAATATAAACAGTTGGTGCAAGTTCAGTTGAATATAGTTGCTGGGGTGGAACAGACCAACCGCGATGCAAATTTTTTCCTGTGATATATGAGGTGGTAACAAAAAGTTTCCAGACTAGTCCTGTAGTGTAGCAACAGGCGGTTGTGCTCACAGTGACCTTCATGCGGCAGTGTACCATTGCCGTGTTCATTTTGCAAGTGTGAAATTTGTGTTTTTGTGATCACGCGTATGCCGTAGTCTGCGATTTAATCATGAACAGGAAGTTGGAACAAAGAGCCAGTGCGAAATTTTGTGTTCAACTCAGGAAGTCTGCTACAGACATTGAGCATCTTCTGACAAGCTTACAACAATGAGTCATATGCAAGTGGCTCGGGTGCTTCAAAGCAGAAGAACATCCCTAGTAGATGATGAGTAATCTGAAAGACCTACCATGAGAGTCATCTCCAGAAATATGGAGAATTCATCCACCAGGGTCAGACAGGTTGAGTGTGCATCTGTAATATGTTTTGGCTATCAAGGTGGATAGATACATGGGTTCAGTAACAAGTAGTAGCCAGCTATATATAAAAAAACAATCAAATAAATCCTTGACTGATGATTTATTAACAAAAAATAAAAACAATCTTTTAAAAGAAACATTTAGTTTTCAGAATTTTTTTTTATTTACATTATTTTCATGTCTGTTTTATGAAGTTTTTTTTTTTCCTTTTTATTTAAAAAACTTCTCATGTTCTGCTAAATAGAACAAGATTTCTTTTGTTTTAACACAATCAGTTACTATGATACATGGATTCATTTTGACCAGTTTCCTTTGTCTTTGTACAAAGAAATTCTTCTCAAATAGACATTGAGAGTAGACATTTTTTTTTAGAAAGAAATAGACAATATTTCAATGTTCAAGTCCTTTTCTTCAGTCTCATCAATCAAGTAGAAATTATCATACTTTATTGATTTATGTACACCTGTAAAGAAAATAAATAATCATAATGATGAAGTCCTCTGCTTTCTTTTGTAATTATTGTGCAGACATCTAAATCTTCCATGTAAATCAATCAAGTTATTCAGTTTCTCAGGGGCACTGGTAAAATTTGTATCCAAAAAAGTATGTGTGTCCAATGCATTTTGAAGTTGAGAGACCTTCAAAGGTTTTTGAGAAATTTGGCAACATCCCACATTTATTTCTTTACACAATATTAAGAAGAGCTAATGTCGCAAATAATAGTCAATTGCTGTTGAAAAGAGAGCAAATCCCACAGCACCAAACACACCTGCCTGGAGTCCAGCTGAAATAAGAGGAGACAATTTTAATGACAAACCCAAGGTAGTTTTCAAAAGCTATTTCCATTCAAATCAAACATTTTCAAAATGAACAAGAGAAAATACATTCTGTGAAACAATTAAGCCAATATCTGTCTATTTCTCCAAGATGAGGTATTATGATTATTTACATTATTTGGACTGTTATCCTCAAATTCCAATCACCTGAAGAAGGCTGGAGTGTACAAGAGACGAAACGTCGTGAACATGGGAATGAAGATGAGGATAATAGTCTGAATAATGTAAATAATTTAGCCAATGTCTGTTGCAACACTTCAGACCAGCCAACTTGGTTCAAAGGTCAAGTGAGTCTGGAATCAGCTTTCCTTACCCATATAAATCAATCATTTCCATGGTTTGGTTTGGTTTGGTTTATTTTGTTTTACGGCATATCACGCTAATGGGTTATTTAATGCTGACAACATTTTTAGGATAGATTCATATGAATAGAATATGTATTCTTTTGTTTAGATTGGTTTGGTTTATTTTGTTTTACAGCATATCAACCTCAATGGGTTATTTAATGCCGACAACATTTTTAGAATAGATTCGTATGAATAGAATATGTATTCTTTGGTTTAGATTGGTTTGGTTTATTTTGTTTTATGGCATATCAACCTCAATGGGTTATTTAATGACAACAAAATTTTTTATTGCTGGTAATATTATGTTTTGTCAAAAATTTGTTTCTGGTAATATATTTCCTTCAAAATTGTATTGCTGGTAATAATTTGTTTCAAAAAAGTATTGCTGGTAATAATTAACTATTTTCCCATAGCTGGGACCCTAACAGGTGCTACCACCTCAGGTCAGGGTGGACCTGGGAACACCAGCAATTAAGAGGTGGCGCCACGCTCCTCAAAACCTCCTGATCAGAGGCCTTGCTGCTGGATGTAGTTTAACACCTTATCCAGGATGGCATTTCCATGGACAGTGCTGGATTTACCATTGTGTTAGGTGTGCTTAAGCATAGGGCCCCATTGGTTGGGGGGGGGGGCATCTTCCTTCCTCCAAATTTTCAAAGTAATGCTGAAATTAAAATATATCTCAAATGATTCAGCATAAGTTTTTGCACATATTAGAAACCTTAAATCAGGCTGATGTACTTTAACTTTTCAGTTTATGTGCCATAAATGTCTATTTTCTGTTATATCAGCATTCTCTTTGTTTCCAGGTAACATGACCTTCAGGAAATCAAGGTTCTCCACAGCTTCCTCATTTTTGCAACTCTCAGCAATGTGTTTCTCTATGACCTCTCCCTTATTTTGTGGTCCTTGTTCCTCCATTGATTTTCTCAAATTTTTCAAATACTTGCCACTTACATCTGATTTTCTTCCTCTCTGTGTGTCCTCAGAGAGTTAAATTCTCCAAAAAATTCAGCTCTTTTTGATTATTAACAACCCTAACCCATCAGCTTTCAAGGGACAACAAGTATAAATTATGAAAAGTAACAAAACTTGATATTACAATGGTAAAAGTAATTTCCCAACATTAAAACTTTGCTATAAAACATGCAATATCATGAACAGGAAATTCTCAGCCAACAGTCAATGAGAATTTTGGCAAATGTTTCAAAATCAAGTTAATATACAATGATGTTTACCAGAGTATGCTTTTTTTTTGTCTTTCATCATGGTTTAATAATTTAAGAAATCATTTTTTTCCTAATTCGTTTTTTGAAGGTGTAGATATTGGAGAGTAAGGTTCAAATTCAGTTAAGCAGATGGAACTCTCTAGTCTTGGATGATAAAACGTTTAGGAGAAAAAAAATAATATTTCAAACCAAGTAAATAAGAGTTTTGTGTGTGGGGCTAGCAACTACATCCTTTAAAACCTACTTTTGATATTGAAATTCCAGCAGAGCATCATCTGGGGATGTAGTGTATGTGTTGTCTTATATTTTGTCATAATGAGTCTATAAGGGAAAAAAATCTTTATTATTTGTAAAAACTCAGAACAGAATTTCTGGTTCTGAGATTAAACTTCAGGATTTTTTGGCTACAAATAAACTAAACTTATGATCAAACTTTTGTTCAAATTTTCTTTTTAAAGAGAATTACAAAAATTAGGTATATTTGGATAATTTTTAAAAAATTTAACCCAAATGCAATTCATTCCTCTGGGTAAATTTGTATATATTTTCCATTTATTTACTTCTTTTTTGTTGTAATGCAAGCAAGCCAATAAAATCAGGATGTTGCTGTGACTCAAACCTAAAATCAGGTAAAATGACAAAATCAAAACAGTTCAGCCATATTTCTATTTGAGGTTAATTTTTTTGATGAGTGAAATGACTCATTGATAATATTTCATGATTAAATATTCTCAGAGAGTTCTGCAAGATTGGTAGATGACCAAAAGTTTGTTTAAAATTCTACCTGAAAATTAATTCTGTTATCATTAACTTAATTAGAAAGAACAGTTGGAATATATTTTGATATGAAAATTATCTTACATAAGACAGAGATTTTGATGTTTAAAAGGTTTTTACAGTTGTTAAAAAAAAGCTGTGTAATTTTTACATTTATTCATTAAGTGGTCTCATTGTGAAAAAAAAAACAAAACAACCCCCCCACCAAAAGTTAAGGAAATATTACATTGTTGATTTTTTTATTTTATTCGTTAAATTATATTGTAAATGTTTCACATTTAAAAAGAAAAATATTCAGGCTAAAATATAATAAGAAAAAAAATTTATATGTAAAACAATCTTAATTCTTTAAACTCACACTGAACAGATTAAAAAAAAAAATAAAAACCACATAAAGAACTAATAATAGTAACCACCATGTAAAAGAAAAACAAACAGAAAAGTTTAAATTTTCTGTTGGAAGATTTTAAAATGATGAAACGTCCAGTTGACTAATTGTAATGCTGGGAAGGAAGAAAAGCTACCCTGAAACAGACCGACTCAGAATTTCTTACCCATGTGGGTATGGGAATTTTCTGGATAAAAAAAAGTCATTATTAAATTCATCTGCTTAATTTCAAGTCAAAAACAAGAAAGTTAAAGATGCAGTCAAACAATTGTGTTCAAAATGCAATCCTAGAGAAACACTGCTTTCCTCACCTCGAAGGCCAAGTACACCGCCAACAATTGCTCCAGATAAAGTTCCATTCAACAATTCTGTTTTGCCCCGGATCTGATGATAGAAAAAAAAAAAAAAAAAAAAAAAGAAGCAAACATCTTTTAAGAAAAAGAAAAGATTTTTATTCAATCAGATTAATTTCGTCTATTTTATAAACAGTTTTTCAGAAATAATTTTTTTACCCCCCCACCATTATCAATGTTATCATTTCGTTTATTACACTTGTAGTATTAACATTATTTTGAAATATATATTTAATAAAGCGTTGTCAGCCATTATTTTTGTCAAATATTTCTTTCATCTTAATTTCGATTACTTTTTATTCTAACTATAGACAGCTGCCAATAATAAACGGTTTTAATCAAAGACAATAAGCCAAGAATTAAACCATATTCTTCATTTCTGAGCTACAAAAAAAAAAGATGAAATTAAAATGAAAGAAATACTAATCAAAGACTGATTAAACAATTCAGTAAGAGATTTTGTTCTCTAGAAGTTTCTGGAAGGATATTTGATCTCATCCTCTAATAATTCTCCATGATTCCATATATACAGCATAAAGCTGGACACGATTTTCCTTTCCCACTCACAGACTTGAGCACTGTTGAAATGATCACGTCTTGAAAAAAGACCAAAATCTGACATCAAAAGACACAAAAGACAGACAGAAATAGAAGTGTTCTCATTAATGTTCCTAATCAGTTGAATAATGAGAAAGAGTGTGCAATGGAAGAATGGTTTTAAAGGTGAGATTTAAGAATTCTTATAGCATAACAGTCACAGCAACTGGCGGATTCAGCTAGTCTTCACACACAAAGTTTGAATTTGCATAAATAACTCTTTCCTTTATTTCCTAGTTGCACTGTAAATGTTGTACTGAGGCTGTAAATTAATTGAAAGGAACCAGTGTTGGGAAAATACCACAGTATGCAGGAAAGGCTTTTGTTTGTTGAGAATGGACACCAGTTTAAAAAAAAATTAAGAATGCCAATTGTTTCAGATTGGATAATATTGAATATGTTGTCTTTCATGTTCACTGTTGTGCACCTTGACATATAATCATCTGATCATTTAATTCAGTGACATAAAATTTAAATTAACGCTTCATTTCTGGGCTCATTGAAAGTTGTGAATACAAGAAATATATTATGAAATTGCATTTTTTTTTTTTTTTAATCATTTCGTCCCAAGCAAGGAGATAAAGCCACTAAGATGCAAGAGAATGAAGTAAACCAAGAAATTGTTACTGAGGAGAAAGGACAATAAAAAAAAGTTTCAAAAAGACAGAAGATGACAAGTGATATTGCATTTATATCTTTTGAAGATCATAGTTGACAGAAAAGCAAGAAACTAGTTCCACAAGCGAGAAGTGCAGGTGAAGAATAGAACTTGCAGTTACATTTAGCAATTCTAACAGTTAAATAATGAGACCTAACTGCCAATCTAGTTCTAAGCTTAAATTCATAAAGTCAAGGTACCAAAGAGAAAGCTCACCAGAACAATTACCATGAAATTATTTATAGAAAAGGCACAGGTAAGCTAGGCTATGATGGTGGAAAAGTAAAAGCCTGGTGGTATGATTAGGAACGGTTTGTTTTGAGGCTTTAGTCATTGGGTTAGTAGTAATGCTATAAACCCCAAATCATGCTTGACTCCAGAGTCATCAGCTGATAGAAGCACTGTTGACAGTGCAAGTACTATTTTTTTTTTTTTTAATCACATGTATAAAATTATGTAAAGTTCAAAAAGAAAATTAGCATTTTGATAGGTTGTATTATTAAGGCTTTTAAATGCTGATTAAAAAAATTGCTGTAAAATAGCATCAAGATGTTATCAAAAACACAAGCAGTAAAGTCAATAAAAAATTAAATTTAAAAAATATGAATAGGAAACTAGAAAAGAAAAAAAAAAGTGGTAAGAATAGAAAAATAAAATCAAAAATATAGAAGAGAAATTTGAAAAATCAAAATATAAAAATAACCATAAATAAATTAAAAAAAATGTTTCTAAATAAATAAGGCAGAGAAAATCAATCATTAAAAAATAAAAAAAAAAAATGTCAAAAGACAAAATACAAGAGTATGTCAAAAACTTCTCAACCTGACCAAGAAGGATTAAAAAAAGGTAATGTTTAATAATTTAGTTTGAGTTTAGGAAGTGACTCAGGCCAAGAAATTCATCACCCACTCATAACTAAAAAAGAAGCTTGTGTTTTTAATACATTTCATTTTTCAACAAGTTGATAGAGAAGCCACATCTTTAAGGTGCATTTTTTTCTCAAGTGTTGCAGATGCAGAAATTTCATAGCTTCAGATTGAACCTGAATTCAAGTATATGACATGACTAAAACTCAACAGATTTAACAAATCCTCATTTTGTCATCATTAAATTTCATTAATCAGCTTTTGACTCATTTCTGATTGAAAATCTCCTAAACTACTTTTGAACAGTCTGCAAACATTGTACATATTTTAGGAGTCACTGCTCCTCTTTCAAGTTTGAATTTATCAAACACTTTAACATTCAATTCTTTGGCTACAGTGTTGATTTCCCTTGTTACTATCATAGGTGTACACTTCTGAATGTTATCTGGGAATATAAAAAGATTTTAAAAATTTCATGTTGCTAAAAACAGTTACCATTTGTTGAAGGAATTATCTACTTTTCTTTTTCAGGTTTTAAAAAATTAAAACATGAAAACACCTATCATATAAATATATTGAACTACTGTTCTTATACATGTTGTACTGGTAGGCCCCAGTGTTCGAGTAAACATTGCATACAAAACTGAGGAGGTATTTTGTAGCCATTCTCGGAGAAAGGGTGGAGGATCATATGCCATCAAATGCAGTAAAATGAAAGACCACAATATTCAAGTTGATTTCAATTCTTAAGAAAAAAAAAAAAAAAAAAAAAAAAAAAGTACTTACACTTTCTAATGTGCATTCAGTTCCAGCAAACATAGCACCAACTAAGGCAAAGTTTTTCCCATAGGAAAGAGTCCGCACTTTCATTTCTTTTAAAACCATTTTTGTTGTAGGAGTTTCTGTTGTCATTGTTGACATTGGATCAATTCCAGCTGTAAACAAACCAAATGCACCTCCAAGTGCAAAGCCTACAAAGAGAAAAAGGAAAAGAAAACCTGAGGAGACATTTTTGAGTATTTATAGGAAAGATCTGTGAGTTTTATATCAGTGATGATTGACATCACTGCACAACAATATGCAGTCTTATATTTAGTCGACACGAGGGTGTCATGTGGCACAAGGCCTTTTTAACGTGGGCATTTCCAAGCCATTAGGGTCGGCCAAAAAATAGCCCATTTGAACCTGTATAAACGGGTTCAGGGCCGGTTTTACCTCCCCAAAGGAGACTCCGCCCTTCGGCGTAGCCTCCTTCGGGTTTCTCCCGCCCGAAAGCAGAGAGTTGAACTGAAACCGCCACTCAAGACTCACACAGAACAACAACATGATGTGAAAGTGTCAGATTGTCTAGAGAGAAATGCACCAGATGATTATTGGAGAAGAGAAAGAACTAAAACATGATTATATATATATATATATATATATATATATATATATATATATATATATAAAAAGAAAGAGGACAAACCATTCTTAACTGATGTGTTTGTCCTATGAGGGACTTTATCAAGGTAAATGTAAGGGTTTATTTTGTTGAACATGTTTATATACAAAAGTAAGGATGTCATTGGTTTATCAAGGCTTTTAAATTTGAGAATGTACATGAATATTCATCAGGTGGTTGAACGGTCAGTCAAAACAGGTGGAGGACACAGAGTACCATAATTCAAAGTCTGGTGAAAAGTAAGCGATTAATATTATTATATATATATATATATATATATATATATATATATATATATAAAGTGATGGGATGACGTCAATATTTTTACCAATTCGATACAATCCCCAATACTGTTTTAAATTTATGATTCCCGATTCTGATACCTACAATGATTAAAATTCATTATTTTCAGGCCCTACAGTTGGTTTGGGAAACTTAATGAACAAAGTACATTTATTAATAAAACATTTAGTAGAAAAATGAAAGCTTATGAAATAAAGTTAGATATCCTTTTTATTTAAAAAATTGGGTAGGAGTTTAAACAATAAAGGCAACAATTTCTTTAAATAAATCACTTAAATTCCTATATACTCATATTTAATCCTAAAATTCTGAAATTATAATGTAAGACCATTATCATCTCTCCTGTTTAGCCTTTCAGTCTATTTCTTTTTGGTAAGTAAATGTTACCTCCAATACTAAATAACCATTCACGTTCAACAGAAGAGGAAGGTGCTGATAGATATTTCTTGGTTAAAATCACCATGATGGGGAAATTCATTTTTATTTGAATTCTACCAATGAAAAACATTCTCATCACTTTTTATATTTTTTAATGCAATATATTTTGCCATTTCAAGTTTTAGTAAATATATTTCTTTGCTTGTTTCACTGACTGCATTATCCTGTATTCTTGTATACATTAGCTCTCCTTTTCCTTTGTCACTTTTTTCTTTAATTCAGTAAGTCATTCTGTAAAACTGAAATTAAAGTCACTATCATTATCACTTTTCTCTTCAGACATGACAAACAAATTATTCTCTATACTTTGTGATAATTTGGGTGAGGTGTCTTTCTTTCCTTCAGTTATAGAATAGATATTGTGAGTGAACCATTCTGCAATGGCCTTGTCATTAGGCAGGCCACTGTAGTTATTTTCAAGGAAACCAATCTTGAACCTGAGATCAAGATATGTTGCTAGAATAAAGTTTTTGTCTTCCATTTAGCGTTGAACCTAACCCATAAAACTGTCCTTTTTCTTCTCCCCTTTTAAAAACATGATAAATTACTTTAATGTGTAGCATAATATAAGAGACGGTTACTTCTTTATTACTTAATAAGTTTGTACAATCAATGAATTGTTTAGTTTTTTCATTAATTTCTCTAACATCTTCCCTTGGTTGAATTCTAAACAACGTGGTTTTGCATGATCACTGCAATATGAGATAACAGCATTTTTTGGTTTAAATACTCTGGACATCATATAATACTGACTGTTCCATCTTGTTCCATCATCCTGAATGAATTTATGATCTGGTAAATAAAATTTTTTTCTATTATTCCTGGTACTTTGCAAAAGCTACAGGTTAGTGATTGAAGTGGCCAACTATTTGTTTACAAATAGAAAGCATATCCTTCACATACCTTTGTGCAAAGATGGCATCATTAATGGTCAACTGTCAGGTGTGTAGAAAACAAGGTAATAACTCATATTGGGCTTGTACAGCTGCTGCTGCCATATTAGCTGCATTATCTCTTATGAGAACATGAATTTTACTATGAGAATTATTAAATTGCTGTACTGTCTCTGTGATACTCATTTCAAAAGCTGTAATATTTTAAGAAATACATGAATTTTCATAGAAACAAATTTAAGTTTCATAAAAAGAATGTTTACTTTTTTAAGTGTCGGTTATTGAAAAGATTTATATTTTGTTTATATCATGTGCTACATAAACAAAAATAAATCACTATCTCAGATTTAATCAATAAATCATTTTCTACACATTATAATTATGTGGAATTTTTATTTTTAATTTCTACTAAAGAATAATTGAAAATTTGAATTTTAAAATAAAATTTTATATAATAGGTTTCTACATTTTTTCTAGGTTTTTAAATGCAGACAACGCTTTTTCTTTTTTATAAATTAAAAGATAATAAAAATTGTCTTAAAAGAGAGTCCAGCAGATCAACATGAATTCATTTTGTGCTTATATTACATTATTTTGATTATAATTATTAAACTAATAATTTATAATATTAAATGGGTGAATTGACAATGTTTAAAAAGAAATTAAAAACTGAACTGAAAAAGACTTTAAACTAATGAACTTTATGGAAAGTTTGAGAACCGAGTAGAAACTTGCACATTTTTTTTTTTTAACACAACTAAAATAAAATTATATCATACTTATGTATTGTTATGATCAATAGATTTTAGTTTTACTAATTGATAGTTTAAAGTCTATAAATATTTATATCTTTTTATCATTTGTACTAGGAATGGAAACTTAAGTTTTAAAATAAAAAAAAAAATGTCAAGAATCATTTTGGTAATAAGAAATTAGGTTAAAAATTCTGATTCCAATACCCCAAAAAGTTCCAATATTTCCAATCCCGATTAAATGTCCCATCACTTTATATATATATATATATATATATATATATATATATATATATATATATTAGCACCCTTAAGGGAGGTGCTGCCATAAAGGTTGGAATAACAGGTTGTGAAATACGTGAAAGAAATATGGTAGTGATGTCCCACGTTGAAGAATAGATTTGATTCCAACCAGAAGGCCAGGAAGCAACGCTCAAGACCAAAGTGCTGATTTATATGTAAATAATCTGGTCATTTTTTATGAGTACTGTGTCCATATAAAAATAATGAAAAATGTGACTGTTTGTTTCACTACCTATAACGAGAGACTTATTGGACATCAGGTTTGCAACATGTTCTCACCACTGAGAATGTCATAAGGAAATCTGCTGTCATGGTAACACAAGGTGTACCTGCCATCACTGAAGTAAAGTAGCATTGTATTAACATCACAACAGAATGTTTAAAAATTTATAAAAATTAAACAATTATTTCTATGAGGTGGTGTTAAAAAGTTCTCGGCTCAAGAAAAAAAAAAGTAAGAAAACAAATGACATTGACTCTATAAAGTGGTAATACTGAAATACAAAATACAACAAACAAAAAGCAGTTTAATCACTTACTCAGCCATCTCTCATTAGAGCTTAGTCAAAGACAAGAAATGTGTACGGCAACTAAAATGATCCCCCAAAAATAAAATGTTACCTAATATATAACAATTAAAGGCTAATTACATTTAAGCCTAACAAACCTTCTGCGTACAGATACAAGATGGCTGGTAGGATTTAATATAAACAAATTCCAATACCTCCAAATTATAATGAGAACATGTCTTGGGTATAAGACTGAGCACATAGATGTTTTTTTTTTTTATTAATAAATATTCAGCCATTGCCAAACCAGTTGTATTCATGTACCTATGCAAATTGTCCACCTTGCCCTTGTGAATATTGGCAGGTAGGCAGGGCTGTGGAGTTGGCGTCAGGTCACTGGAGTCTGTGTCGGTAAAACTATACAGACCCCGATTCCAGTTGAATTTACACTTTATGTAAAAAGTTTCATATTATAGAATTTTTATTGTTATTTCTTCTACTGTATATTGACTATTTCCTTTAAAGAAATTCATCTCAAATTCTTTTTTAAAGTCATTTTATTTTTTTGTAGTTATTTTGTATTTTCAAAATTATATATGTAATAAAATCCTACATTATAGAATTTTTTTTTTTGTTATGTCTTTTACATCTTGTAAAAGATTATATTTCAACTTTTGTTATAAAGTAGTTTTATTTTTGTTCTTTACTTATTTCTTATGCAAATATATATATATATATATATATATATATATATATATATATATATATATATATGTGTGTGTGTGTGTGTGTGTGTGTGTAAAAAGTGTTACATTATAGCATTTTTATTTTTATTTCTTCTATTTCTATATCCTTTCAAAGATTTTGTCACTAATTCTGTTAGAAAATAGTGAAGAATGAATAGTTATAATATAAAAGCCACAATATTTTTATTCTTTGATATAAACCAATTATAATGATTTGTTAGCAGCGTATACATAGGCTTTATGAGATTTGTAGGCCGTAAGCACTTAATTACATGAGCTGGAGGTGCCAAAAATAGAGTTGTCGAAGGTTTTGTGTTCTGACTTCACAGCCCTGAGACAGTAGGCACCAATTCATCCTTGCTTCCAACCTTATGACATTTGAATTAATAATTTAACAAACCGAGATACGATGGAGAGGTTAGTACATCCTTCCATATCAATCTCATCATTGATTGGGCAATAAAGATAATACATGGATTGGTAGGCAGTTAAGAGTTTTTGACACACACACAGTAATCTGCTTAACAAGCTTGCTACTAACATCACCAATCCACATCATATGCAAAGAGACAAGACATCCTGGTTGGTCACTTGGAAAAGTGGACTGATCTTTTCAGATTGCAAAAGAAAATTTATGGTTATATTTTCTTAACCCTTTGAGCCTTGACCACTACTTTACTGGTGGTAGAGAAAAATGACGTAATGCCCAGCCACCGGTTGAATGGTGGTAGAGAAAAATGATGTAATGCCCAGCCACCAGTTGAACAGTATTAGAGAAGAATAACTCAATGATCAGCTGCCAGTTGAATGGTGGGTAAACACTTGTAACTATTTTTTATCTACCATGAAACATTACATACCAATTATTTGCTAATTTTAACTCAAGAGCTAAGGTAGAAGGGTTAAAATTGTTCAGGAATGCAGGGATCAAAGGATTAAAAAAAACAAAGTAAAAAAAAAAAAAAAAAAAATTAAAAGAACAAACTCTCATTCAAATACACCTGTTCACTTTTTTCACTGGTAATAATTAGTCATCAATAAAATACAAGAATTCTTTATCTTTGACTTTCTTCAATTCTAACAAAAAACAAACATGAAAGAATTAAAAGAAAATTACAATTTTTTTTCTTAGAGTGGAAATACACTACTAAATTTTGCATGGAATCAACATTGTATAAAGTATTTTCTTGAAATATCAACAAAAACAACTTCTGTAATTAGTTTCATTTTTAGCATTAATGGGTTCAGCAAATATGTCAATGTTTTTCTTCATTTCAAATGTAGTGAAAGTAAAATTGTAACCAGAAAAAAAAACAAAGCTGCAATAATCATGGATATGTAAGGTTGTATTTGAACCTGCCATATATTGATTGAATACAGTTGCCATATGTACGATAATAAATATATTGCTAAGGATTCTGACTATAGCAAATCAGGAAGAAAAAGAATTCTTCAAAATCATTTATAAAAACTTAAGGCATTTCAATACAAATGGAAAGTTATGTGGGATAAGTGAATTTCATCTTGGAAACTTAATAGAAAGAAAAAAATGGGTCTGAAAAGTTCTCAGCTTAGTCAGACTGAGAACTTTTCACCATCTTCTTGATAAATAAATGGCTATTTAGAAGAGATTAAGATTCTGATATTTGGTCAAATCTTTCGAAGTGGGTAGTACTGAAAACTTTTCAGCAGAGTCACTTAGATTTTTGACTTTAGTAAGATTTCAATATACTTATTTCTAGGGTCAAAAAAGTTTTTTTTTTATATATATTAACCTTTAACATACTGGAGGTGATTTTGCTTGCAAAGCAAAAATTTTATCCTGCCACTGCAAGTGACTCAGATCAATGAATAATAGTGTGTTTGAATTTTGCAGTTGTGTTGTCATATCCTGCTATGACAACAGAAAATGACCATAACTGAAATCAAATAGTGCAGTAGAGGGACCATGAAAAACAATGCAGTGGAAAGGTAAGTAATGAATACTGCAGAGTGCTGAAGGTTAAATTTTTAACTATTCCCTTAACTTTTCTGTCTATATAATATGGACATACACATGTAGTTTTCTTGATTATTCAAAATATTAATCTCAGTCGATAAATTATTTATACGCCTAACTTTCTGATTTTTGAAATCTTCAGCAGTACTAGACCTACAGCTCTCCAAGTTGGGTGATTAATAGATGCTACTTACCTAAAACACAACTCATTCCAGATTTAAAAGCACAGCTTTCAAACATCCGCTTGATGAGTAGTTCCTCCCTTGTCGGAGCAAACTGATGGAATCCAATTGGTACAAATGGAATTTCCTTGTTCTCCTTCCGCCTCAAAACTTCAAGGATAATGCTTTGGAAAGAATCCATACCCGAAGGGGTTAAAGCTGGAAGTAATTGGTTTCGCACAGTTTGCTGTTGTGTTAATGATTTTTGGTCAATAGTGCTGCTGGAAGAACCAGCCATTTTTGTCTAGAGGAGAGGAGGGAAAATTCTGCAACAGAAAAAATTTCTTTTGAGAAAAAAAAAAAATCTGCTACCATAATTCTCATTTGCTATATAACGATAGAAAGTTCTTGGCATGACCATGAAGAGATTTTTTTAAAAAAAGTTTGCATGTCTGTTTAGATGTTAGGAAGAGGGTTGATCTGAAAACATTTTAGCACACCTGTTCATATATAGGCACTTTGATATTGTGCAAGCTTGTCTTACTAGATCAATTATGAGGGAGTTTGATCCTCACTGGATGATCCATATTATTGGCTTTGTGCCACATCCAAGCTACACTTAAATCATACACACACACACACACACACATTATATATATATATATATATATATATATATATATATATTTTTTATTACAAAAGATTATAAAAAAACATGTTGAAATTGTTACACAAAAGCTTTCATGTTTCAATACTATGATTGTACTTCTTCAGGCAATCGTAAGTAAACCAACCATCACCTGAAGAAGTACCAAAGTATTGAAACATGAAAGCTTTTGTGTAGCGATTTCAACAGGTTTTTATTATAATTTCTTATAATAAATATAATAATAATATTTTGCTCTACTTTGTATTGAGCATTTTTTTTAAAGTAAATGCTACAAACAGTGGAATTTTACTCCATCTCTTCTTTCGCTCATTTGGAGATATATATATATATATATTATATATATATATATATATATAGGAATAAAGTCCTACTGACAACACTGGAGTTTAAACACAGATCACCAGAGAGCAAACACAGGCGATCCCATTTTGAATAAGTAGATCATGTGATGGTAAAGGAAATGTATATATATGGGAATTAGTGTGGCGTCTAAGTGATTACTATTCAGATCACTATTTGGTGGTTACTTTTTTGCGCGAGTACTATTAGTGTAAGTGATATTCGAAGGCGTCTGACACCAGTATTGTTCAACAGCGTTACTATAGTTGTATCAGCGATTACAAAGTCTTTACTACAATGAGCATTACAAAAGTGGCAATGAGTGTTTGTTGACATCACAATATAAATATATATTAGTCATATGGATACGAGTTTGTAACCCTGGGTTTAAAACTATCACTTTATTGTTAGGTCTATCATTGATATTGAGCAATTTCCAATAAATACTGTGCATATATAATATATATAGAAATTTTATATAAGTTAAGGATCAAATGCAGATTGAATATGGATTGGAATTCAACAGGATGTTAAAATAAAAGAACAAATAGGAAATGTATATCAATCTGACATGTTTCACTTTTATTAAATCTTCATCAGAGATTGAGAGAAAACAGACAAAAAGACAGAAAACACTGGTATTTTCACTTATGTTTGGGTTAGTTCTCAATGGTCAGACATGTGTCATGTGTATTAAAACCATGGATAATTCTATGTGTATGTGAAGATTCTTGTATGCCTAAGTGGGCATCAGATGGTAATGGGTATTTATAATTGTGTGCATGTGTCTGTCTAGGTGGGGTTTTATCTTCACCTTTGTGCATTCAGCCTGTGCAGCAGGGAGTCACAAGGTTATAATTTATGGCGGACCTCTTTAAGAATGTGTTCTTTGTATTAGATAGATACAAGTTAGATTCTTTAAGAATGGAGTTAAAGAAAAATGGCAATGTAATGTTTTAGTTTAGTGTATGTTTATAGTTGGTTATATAAATATATATTTAACAATTGTATATTTGGGCAGCAATCCCTCTTTTACAAGTTTTTATTTAATTTTTCTTGTGTTCTTATAATTTTCTTCTTTCCTAGACATAAATTGTGTAGAAATTGTCTGAGTTCTTTCGGCTATTCTTTCAGCCATTATCAAGAATGATTTTATTTTTACTTTTTAACTGAATGTATGGATTTTTTTATTGTATGTAACTAGAGAGTTTGTCACAATGTACTAACAGTGTTTGGAAAATAAAACATTCCAATTCAGGTTAAAAAAATGCATTTCTGTGATATTTTAAAGTAAACTTAAAATAAATAATATTTGTTTCAAATCAGATTAATTATATTTTAAATCAGCTAATATTCCTCAAATAAAGTTTCAGAAAAGCATATTTTATTTTTAGATTTTTTAATAAAGTGAATTACATTGCGATGAAAGACGACTAAAAAAATAGCACTAATCAGCTATTTTAGCAAAAACAAAAAAAAAAAACAAAAAAAACAAAGCAAAACTCTTTACATTATTCGGACTATTGTCTTTATCTTTGTCGCCATATTTATTACAACGTTTTGGCCGTTGTATGCTCTGGCCTTCTTCAGGTAGTTGGAATGGAATGTTGAACTGAACCCTTTATTTCACTCACTGCGGTAGACTGTTCTAGTTCCACGTGCCATATTTAATGGATGTCAGTTATCAGTTATCTCCTGTTAATTCCCCTCTGCAAGTTCTCCACTGCTTTAACCAGGTATTGAACTCTCACTCTTTCCATTAAACATGGCACATGGAACTAGAACAGTCTACCTCAGTGAGTGAAATAAAGGGTTCGGTTCGACATTCCAACTACCTGAAGAAGGCTGGAGTGTACAACGGCTGAAACATTGTAATAAATATGGCGACAAAGATTAGGACAATAGTCCGAATAATGTAAATAGTGTACATAATACCGCATCTCAGAAATATAGACAGATACTAAAGCAAAACTCCTTCCTATATAAATTTAAATTAGTTTTTGAAATACCAAAATATTTTGCTTATTGGGAAAATTTCACCTAGCTTGAAAATAATAATTAAAATAAAACTAAAATAAAAGCTTCAAGAAAGATTTTTCATTTTTTTAAATTCATTTTAAACATTATGTTTCTTTCTTCTTTTTTTTTTAAACAGATGTTTTTAGCCTGAAAATAATCAGTTGTTCGCTGCCCTCCTTGGAGGATATTTCTAATTCTGGTTGTCGCAGCAGTGGAGAAAAAAAACATAAGACGGGTGAGACTTTTGTTTGAGCGGTTACCCCTAGGACAACGTTTTTTAGGACAAAGCGCTTAAGACACAGATTTTCACATAAAACATTACCACTCAAAATAAAAAAAAAAAATTATCCCTGGACCCTAAAATGAACGCTGCCAAATTTCAACATAAACCGAAACGTTATCAGTTTTATTTACATTCGGATTATTTGTCCCCATCTTTGTTGTTATTACAATGTTTCGGCCATTGTACCCTCAGGCCGTTATCAGGTGTATCGATCAGAGTAATATACAAAGAATTCATAACTGAATCTTTTTTTTTTAACAGGGATATTTAGTTTTCAATGTAGTGTTTTTGTCTATGTTTGCATTGTGGTAACTGGGTACTGCTGTGTAGTTTGTACATTGCACAGTGACAAAAAAAATAAATCGTGATTGCAAATTAAAGAGAAAACATACAAACTTTTTTTTTAACCTTTTTTAAAGGCATCGTTCGTTGAGCAAGGTTATTCATTTCGCTTAAGAGGCACGCACGTCACCTTATGGATAAGTTAAATGGAATTAATTTGTTCAATTGGTATTAGATTTAAAAACAAAGTAACAGTTAATTTTTTATGCAAATTCAGCTGCAAGATATTATACTTACGCCCTTATAATAATCTTCAAAATGATCTTAAGTAGCGTATGGGGACCATGCTTCTTGCTTAAGGGAAGGCGGAAGAAGAAATGTACTTTTCAAGAAAGAAGAGTTACAAAGGGCGGTAACTGCGACCGACAATTCGGTTTATTTTTTTAATTTATTTGTTTATTTTTCTATGTTCATGAATAAACAAAAGACTTGAGCCAAGAAGCGGTTCTGTCATTCGCTAAATTATTAGAATAATCATGTATAGGATGAGGGCTGAGAGCAAACCTCGTGGGAGGATCACTTCGTATGCTTTCTTCGTGAAAACTTGCAAAGAAGAACATGAACGTCAGCATCCAGGCGTCAAATTGGATTTTAAAGAATTTTCCAAGACATGTGCAGCCAAGTGGAATAGCATGGTTCCAAATGAAAAACGTCCATTTGAACGAATGTCGGAGCAAGACAAGATTCGTTATGAGAACGAAATGGCCAGTTATATTCCACCCCCGGGTGAGAAAAAGCGCAAATTGAAGAGAGCCAGGGACCCGAATGCCCCGAAGAGGGCCCTTTCGGCTTTTTTCTTCTTTTGCAAATCTGAAAGACCCAAAATTATTGAAGTAAGTCCGAATCTGAAGGTGTCTGAAGTGGCGACTGAACTGGGAAGACGTTGGAGAAGTGCAACAACTGCCGATAAAGCCATGTACGAGGCGAATGCAATTCAAGACAAAGCCAGGTATGAACAAGAAATGGCCATTTTTAGAGGCCAGAAACCTTTGGCAGGATCTGATGATGATGAAGTTGAGGTTCCAGCTGCCAAACAAATTGCCCTGGACGATAATGAGGAAGATGACAATGAAGGCCCCACGGAGGAGGAGGAAGAAGAAACAGCGGCGAATAATAATGATGTTGAATTACCAGAAGAAGAAGAGGAAGAAGACTTTGAGGAAGAGGAAAAAGATGAAGAATTTGAATGAATTGACAAGAAAAGAAAAGTAAAAAGAAAAACAACATCAACAAAAAGGCCAAAGGAATGAAAATGTGAATAATTTAGACGTTTGTGAAAAAATGAAAAGAAAAAAATTCGAAAAAGAAATCAAAGGATAAGAAGAATAAAAAAAAATGATAAAAATATCTTTATTCTTTAAGGAAGAAAGTTTCATTTTATGAAAATGAGAAAAGGAGAATTAATTTAATTATTAAAAATATTACAACATCTCTAAAATATAACAACGGTATTTTATTTAACTTAATTTTTGCAAAAAAAAAAAAAAAGTCTTTTAATCATTTGTGAATGTTTTTTTTTCACTTTTCTGTTCTTGCGAAAAAACTTGAA